TAATCAAAATAACACTCATTCTCTTTTGAAAATAGTTATGCTCACTTTTTCCTCACCACCTTCGAACACGAACATCGAACTATATATATAGGACGCTGAAAAAAGTCTAGTTGAGTCCCGATCAACGTCTGCTTGCTGTGAAGCCTTTTGCTGCAAGAATAGTTTCACATGCTCCATGTGTTCGATCAACGTCAAGACTCTTGTAAAGATAAGGTTCTTCTTGAGGACGTACAAAATGTAAACGATTGAGGTTGTGATCATTAAGGCTCTCCACAAATCACGTGATTACATAAACCTGCACGGACACGTTGCTACAACTCTAAAATAACCATAACGTCTAGCTACTAACACAACATCTCTATACTATATTGTCAAAAAATTATGCCAAAAGAAGTCGTACAACATGCTTACATAAGAACATAAAGGAACTAACAAAACCTTGTTAACCACAAGCGCAGCGGTCACAATTAATTAAGTTCAAACCTCACCGTCTTCCATGTTTAAAAAAATTATGTTGTCATCCTGTGCAAGGCTCAAAGTGATGACTCAACAGGTGAGAGTGTGTGTTAGATCGAAGATCTACAATGATAAGATTGAGCATTTAGTTGAGTTAATTTTTTAAAATGATATCTAAGCATTTAGATGGTTGACTTGTTTATGTTGAGTGCAAACAAAATTTTTAGCTTAAATATATACTTGGTATTTCAGGGCCGGCCCCGAAATATGAAAAAAGTGAACTTGGCCCTGTGCAAAATTCACATTTTGGGCTCTATTTTATTTTTTCAGAATACTTACAATTAAAAATTAGTGCTAAATTTAATAAAATAGGACCCTAAAAATTTAGAAACCCTATGCAGTTGGGCACTTTGCAAACCCTTCAGGCTATGTAGCTTGGTAAAAATGAGGTAGCTAGCTTTTAGTAATACTCCCTCCGTTCCTTATAGATTTTCTCAATAGCCCTTTTTCTTTGTCCACAATAGATCTTCTCATTTCATTTTCTAACAATTAAAATACCACAACTACCCCCACTTACTTTATTTATTACATCTCACCCACCTCATTTAATACACTTCACCCATTTTTCATTAAGGGTATTATGGTAAACTTTCACCTTTTTTCAACTCTTCTTAAAAACCACCAAAAGTCAAAATGAGAAATCTTAGGGAGAGGGAAGAGTATATTCCATGCATGGAAAGATGATATAGAAACCAATTAACAAATTAAACCCATAAAAAGGGCGCACCAATAATAGCAGCAATAATAGCAGTTTGGTAAGTAGCTTTAACTTTTCAGGTGATTATTGCAAAGGTTTAAAATCCATTCCTCTTTTTTATTTGTAAATGGGGAGCAGGTGTGCTTACTTGTGGTAAATGTATTAGTTCATACATGCATTCATCCCTACCTGGAAAATTAGAACAAAGAAGTGGAGACATATTGATTGAGATGATCAAAAGGGGCAATTAGTCTTTAGGACAGAGAAAAAAGAGAGCCAAATGAGCATCCAACGACAATTGGCAAGACAATGGGTGTTAAGGGGATAAGATCCGAGTTCGATTCCTAACAACTGTGCTGGGAGGTAATTATGCTAAGCATAGGGTCTCTTTAAGTACCAGGTGCAAGTTTTACTCTTTGCCACTAATATGTGATTAAGATCTAATATACCTCCTTTCAATGACCGTCTGACCGGAGTCTGTGGGCCCTCGGGAATGGGGTCATCCCTTTTTTTAAATAAACCTCACGATAAGATTGGTTCTTACTTTTTTCTGGGTGGGGGGAAGACTAGCTAGTTAGTATAGACTCGACCAACTAGGGGAACAACAGGTGGTTAAGGACTCTCTCTCAAACTTTTATTGATTTATTTGGGAAAAAAAGTTTAGTATATTAAACAAATACGGAGTACTTTGTATTTATTCCCTCCATCCCCCAGTTTTTGTCCACTTTTATTTTTGCACATCATTCAATGCACTTCTTTAATTCATTTTATCTTGTAATTTGTATATTAAGAAGTTATAGAAATTATATATTAATAATCTATATGTTAAGACAAATCAAACAAGATCACACATGACTATATTTAGGCTTACACATTGAGAGAATTTGATGAGTCAAAGTGCTTAGATGAACAGTTCCAAAAGTCAAAAGTGGATAAAAACTAGGGAACGGAGGAAGTACTTGTTAACAATAATAACAATAATATTCCTTAATAACTAAGAATATATCTTCCTGGGGATCATGGTTACTCTTACGATATTTTTTCGTCTCAAAATAAATTTCTCACTTCAATATATTTGATTTTTCAATTGTCTAAAAATAAAGTTTCTCTTCTTAAAGAGAATGAAATGCATGAGTTCTTCATTTTAACTTTCTCAAATCATCTCCAACTCATAGTGTATATGGTAAAATTTACACTATATGCAATATAGTATTGTTGAAATATTAGAATAATAATATTGCTCATTGAATTATGGAGTACATGATAGTGTATATATAAGAGAGACTCCTAACACAACTAGGAATAGAGAATGGAAACTAACTAACATACAACATCTACCACAAATAGGATTAGGAAGCTGACTAATAATGAAACACTACCATAACCAATACTACAAGAAGTACTATTAATATTATTGTCTAACATTCCCCATCAAGCTGAACTCTGGCTGAAGCAAGAGGAAGCTTGGACACTAGCTGGAATCTGGAAACTTTGAGAAGAGAGAAGGCTGACATGCGCCGGTGGCAGCTGACGTCGTTGGAGAAGAGAGAAGTCTGACGTGCACTGGTAGGTGCTAACGTCGTTGGAGAAGAGAGAAATTGACGTGCGCTAGTAGCTGCTAACGTCGATGAAGATGAGAGAAGGTTGACGTGCGCTTGTAGCTGCTGACGTCGAAGAAGAATAGAGAAGGCTACTGGAGGTGCCTGTTTGACTGAAGATCCTTGACGTTTTTTTGTCTTTTTCTTGGATCCGGGCAATGCCCTATTTCCTTCTTAAAGGGGTGAGTTGTAGAGGTCTGATTTCCTCTTTCACTACTTCCACTCTTGGCTTTGGTTTTGTGCTGATTTACTTAAGATTTTTATTGGTTCAACAGAAGAGAAAGAGAAGGGAGGTTGATGATTAGAGTGAGTGATTTTAGAGAGAGAAAGTAGGTTAAGAATTGGTGATGGAAAAAAAAAAATTGGGCCTGAGATTTTGATATGGTGAATTGGAGAGAAACAACAATCATTTATTTTTTCCTTTTTTTTTGAGAAGATAGGATGATCTGAGAGAGTTTGTGAGGAGTTGAGGTTTTTTTTGAAGAACCATGGAGATGACAAGAAAGAAGTTCCTCTTTTGATAGTTTTTTTTCTGTGATTTCAACAAGGGGTTTTTTCTTTTCTTTTTTTATTTTTTTTGCATTTGAATGGAGAAGTTGATTTGAGGATAAAGAAGAAAAAAAGAAAATAGAGGTGAATAGGGTGGAGCCGCCGTCGCCGGAATTACCGGCGGCGGCGGTGGGAGCAAAGAACTTTTTTTAGGTCACCAAGAGCGGTGGCTCTGATACCATGTTGAAATATTGGAATAATAATATTGCTCATTGAATTATGGAGTACATGATAGTGTATATATAGGAGAGACTCCTAACACAACTAGGAATAGAGAATGGAAACTAATTAACATACAACATCTACCACAAATAGGATTAGGAAGCTGACTAATAATGAAACACTACCATAACCAATACTACAAGAAGTACTATTAATATTATTGTCTAACAGTATTCATTTTTTAATACTCCAATGGATAGTGTAAACCAAAGGTTAAAAAACACTATAGTGGAAAAAACAATTCCCAACTTGTATATATACAAGATGGTGCAAACCAAACGCTAAAATGATTATTTCAATATTTAGTTTTAAATGATACTAAAAATATTATTAATAGATTGGTTACATTATGCACATCATAAATGTGATTATAATTAAACCAAAAATTAAACATATTAATATCTTAAAATAATAAAATATTATAAAAACGTATATTATAGAAGATATGATTGGATTCAGTATAAAAAAGTGAATGTGTAAAACACTGTTGATAGTGTAAACTAAATTTTACACTATCATTTTTTCCACTATGGGTTGGAGATGCTCTCATTACATAAAACTTGGTCAAATTCTTTAACTTTTCATAAAATTTGTGAAAAAACAAACCTAAATAAACTTGACACAGAGACTACAAAGTAGTGTTATATTGTTATCCCATTAATTTTTGAATAAAACTCAAATATACGAATATTTTATTTTATCAAATGAGCGATAAAAACGTACAAATAAAGAAAACTATCCCTTTATAAATATTATGTTCCTTTAAAGCTGTTGCTTAATATAACAGCAAATTAGTAAAGATATACGGAGTAGGTTTATTCATCAAGTATTTAAATTATTAAATAATTCCAATGCATTGATACATACATCCATAAATATATACTAGTTAATTATATACAACAAATTAATATTATGCATGAGTATATTTAATTAATTACAAAGAATTGGTTGATGCTTGAATATAATCAATGAAACATTTTTGAATTAATTTATTTTAGATGCATGCGTATTAAATTTGCGGAATTTGAAAAGTCCCTCTTTTAATTAATAAAATATTAATTTATCGATGTATATATATATATATATATATATATATATATATATTTCTAAATCAATAAAATTACATGATTTATGGGAAATTAATTTATCAATTACTCTTAATTTGAATTAGATATTACAACAATAAATTAAATTTTTAATAGCTCTCAACAAAATAAATCTAATGAAATAATTTTTATACTAAAATAGATTGCCATTTTTATTTAATTGAGGTCTAAAGTTCGTCTAATTTGATTTGAAAAAGTCAAACTTGAAGAATACAATAAGACGGAAGCTATGTAATCTTAATTACTTCCTACACCAATTTTCAAAGATTAATTTCCCTCTATAAATAAAGATATAAAAGTATTAATGTAAGAGTGTTTCTTTGATACATATCTTTTTTGTAAACTTTTGCACTTATATAAACAAATACTTATTTAAATAGTAAAAAATATTTATTTTATTAAAATCTATAGTGGACCTTAGGTTCAGGGTAAAATTTGCTTTTTAATAATGATAATACTCCCTAGTCCCTAGAGGGAGAATTAAGACCTTAAGCCACAAAATTCTTTCTCTATCGAAGAAGCTTGAAATTGGGATTTGGGGAATGGAGAGTTGGGATCCGAATACGAAATCAACTCTCACGCAGATCCCGCTTTTGACGACGAAAGCGGGGCCGAGAGATGGCGCGGCGTGGATGCAGCGGCTCAAGGAGGAGTACAAAGCACTGATAGCGTACACGGCGATGAACAAGTCCAAGGATAACGACTGGTTTCGTATCGCCGCCGCTAATCCGGAAGGCACGCGCTGGGCCGGCAAGTGCTGGTATGTCCACAATCTCCTCAAGTATGAATTCGACCTCCAATTCGACATCCCTGTCACCTACCCCGCCACCGCTCCCGAACTCGAGTTGCCTCAACTCGACGGCAAGACCGAAAAGGTATACTCCATTTTGATTTCTGCATTTTTATTTCCTCGGTTTTCTGAATCTCCGATTTTGTGGATTCTCTTCAATTGTGAGTGTTTAGATGTATAGAGGAGGGAAGATTTGCTTGACGGTGCATTTCAAGCCACTCTGGGCTAAGAACTGGTAATTTTTTTTATATGACCGAGCATTGATAGAATGGTTCTTACTTAGGGTTTTTTTGATCCAGTATTGAAAAGAATTGGTTTTGACAGCCCCAGATTTGGAATAGCACATGCACTCTGTTTGGGGCTTGCACCTTGGCTTGCTGCAGAAATCCCAGTTCTTGTTGATTCTGGCATGATCAAGCATAAAGATGATGCATCTTCTTCATCCCTCGACTCTTGATGATGACAACCCTTCTATTCGCTGTGGCTGCTGATTGATGGTATCTTAAAATTTATAAGCTTTGGATTATACTGTTAATTGTGGAATAATAATAAACTAAATTCATGGGGAATACATACTAAAACTGACAATGCTAGATTGTTTTAAATTTGATTGTGGATTTGTGATGAGAAAATGCTTAAAGGCCACGATCTGTATTTTCTTTTACCCTTTAAGCATTGTGTTATGTTTGATGTGCTTTGGCTTGGTCTCCATTCGGTACTTACCCCTAGGAACTTTTCATTCTAAAACTTTATGAATTTCTATGTATTGTTACACCTTACAAGGATGGATTTTAGTTAAACTTTTACAAATTTCATAGGTTTTAGACTTTTTATTTTCAGGACTAGTATAATAGAGGTTGCATTGAATGGCGAAAGTTATATTATTGAGAGAAGTATAATATAAATTGGCATACAGTAATACATCTTAATAGTATGTCTGCAATACATATAATGACTTTGGCATGGTGCTAAGAGGATTGTTAATGCAAGTTGCTTATAAAAAAATGCTAATGTGGCTTATGACATGGAAGCACCATTGCTTCAACATGTTTGAAGGTTGCTTCACTAGGCAAAAGTTGCTTAACTATTTAACAATACGGAGTGAAAAATAGTGAAGCATTATATCTAAGCAACTTGCATTTAAGTTCTAATGGGCTATTTCTTTGGGTAGATTAAGAACAGATACAATAGTCTTGACTTATACTCTCTCTGTCCCAAAATTATCTTCCAAGTTACTATTCATACTGTCAAGGTCTGCGTACTCACACCTTCCCCAGACCCTACTCTCGTGGGATCCAACTGGGTTGTTGTTGTTTATATTTTCTTTTGATCATATGTTAAGTAGACATCACTTTCACATAATTAAGGATTGAAACGAGGGTGAGAATAGATTTAGTTGGAATACAAGTCAATATACAGTCGAAAAGAGCAATATATAACTACAGAAAAAATTGGATTTGCTAGTTTTTTATGGATTTAACCACAGGAGTATTGCTATAACTAAATGGAGCTGGATATCCAGCAAATTCCCTTACTGTGGGTGTGTTATCATTTCTAACATTCAACTTCAAGGAAGTTTTTGCGTGTTTGGGGGTTTTGGCAAAATAAATAGAGCACTCCTAGCAGCTGGGACTAAGGATCTTACATAATTCAGTATTTGCAAGCATATTAAATTTGTAAATAGGAAGCTTGTGATCAAGAGCTTAGTGACAAACTGATGTGCAAAGAGATTGTTGACAGAGGTTAGGATTAGAATGTTGTCTTCACTACCACTCTAACGTAGACGCATGTGGCTTTGAAAGAGCATGCAATGAACTTTTCCCTTGGCGTAAGCGTGGTTTAACACTTTTCGCAAACACTTCTGTCCCCTGCAATGCGGGTGCCTCTGCCACTGCAGATGAGTTTTTGAGACTAAAAGAGTGTTTAATGTGGAAGATCTTCAAGAGATTGTGGCTAAAAAGTGGGGCATAGGGACTCTTAACTGCTTGAAGTTTGGAGGGACTCAATTGAAGTATCAACCCCCCCCCCCTCCCTCTCCCGAAGAATTGAAGGGCTGTGCCAAAACAGATAGTGTGGCAAAGCTTGAGAGATTTTTGTTAAGTTGGAGATAATATCCCTAGGAAAGCCTTGATAATCCCTAGATGAGTATGGTGAAGTTACTCGCTTCAAAACATAGAGGGTGTTTGGCATTGTGTTAGAGAGTAGCTTTTGAGTTTTTACTTTGTCCAAAAGTAATTGTGTGTTTGGTAAATCTAATTCTACTTCTCATTGTGCAAAATGGACTCCAAAAGTGTTTTTTTGGCCGAGTTGAAACTTTATTGTTTTTCTAAGAATTCAGTGTAGTGCCAAACACCCTCTTACTCCTACTCCGACAAGAGGAATTGATGGTTATGAAATGCTCTCAACCCTTTCAATTCAAGCTTTACCAGTGTCATGTTTTCACGATGCCTACCATACTTTTGCCCTTTTCGCAATCATTATATTTTCTCCCTCCCCAATTGGATTGCAAGTTTTTTCTCTCTCGATAATTTATGTTTGTTTACGCAATTTCATTAAGTATTTGATAAAATAAAATATTCTTGTCATCTCTTATTTTGTAGAACTTTTAACGTAATTTTTTATTATGTAATTTTTATTTTTTATCGATATACCGATTTGTAATTAAAATAATTTTAAAAAGTTAGATATTTCTCTTCGTAAACCCTGATTTGCAATCAAATTAGAGATGGAGGGAATATCATATATTTTGGATGAACTTTTTATCCACAAGAATATACTGATGAATTATGATGTGGAATAGATCGTAGATATGAATACTTAATAATAAGAGATGGAGTTTGATAAAATTATTTGCATTTCAAGAGTGCGATCACTTTTCTAGTCAAGGTATGAGTCACCACATTTTCACAATGGTGTAAAAAAAAACTAGACAGTGAACAAAACACTGATAAAGTATAGTAAGATAATCTTCGAACACAACACCAAGATAAGAAAAACAATCAAAATGTTCACCTCGTTGAATAGTAAGAATTAGAGTCTGAGAGTCCGAGAAGAACTCTATTTCATGAAGCCATCATGCACGCACCCTTGCCGGAGCTTCCATAAAAGCTAACGCCTCCGCAAACAATGCATCCTCCAGACAATGTGATCTCTCGTTTGTCACTGCAAATGAACGAGTGTCATCCGTCGATTTCAACAACACACATCCAAAGTCGTGTACAACCAGCATTAGGATGACCTTCGTCTCTCTACACAAAAAAATGGACAAGGGAGTGTTGGATTCTAAAATGACTACTGAAAGCTGATTTATGAATAAAATGTATGTTCGGTATTGTAATGGGCTTTGAGCTGGGCTGGTTCGATCAAATCTTAAACCATTCACACACAATTCATTAGATATCAATGCTGTGTACCATGGGCTAATTTTTTGGATCAAATTTTGAACCATTCACTATTCATTGGATATCGGCACATTGCATTATGGGCTAATTTGTTTGGACCATCCTAACTAATTCCAAGAATGGCATTAACACAGCCCATACGCTTTCCGTACAATAAAAGAGGCCCAAGCTTGTCTCCCCAGCCAAGAAACATCTCCTTCCTAGACGAATCTCTTCTTCTTTGTTCACATAGTCATGTCATATTTTATTGAACTTTTGATATAGGTTTTAAATATATAGTTTTTTTAAATTTTAAGTTTTACACCAATTTTTATATAAAATCAATTGAAAATAGTTTCAATTAAACATCTCGGAGTGCAATGTTGTCTGGTGGTTTGGAATTGAAGATTGTAATAAGTAACGATGAAGATAAACCTATGTTTGAGAGCATTAATATTGTTTATAAAGAAATCTTCCAGAATATTTGAATAAGATAATAATAAATAATTAAAAAATGAATAAGATAATGATAAATAATTAAAAAGTAGACATTTAAATACATAAATAGTAAGTTTGTGTATTTTGTGACCAAAATATTTGTGACTCTAGCACTTCTCTTGTCATTGTTAACAAAAATCCCTTACCAAGTATATTTGAAAATTTAGTACACTACTATTAAATTTAAAGATTATTTTTATCTACATTCAAAATTCAATGATATTATATATAGCAAATATATACTATACTTCTTCATATTATTTAATCTACACTTTGAAAAAAATAAGTTTTACATAATCAAATTTTAAAAAATAACATGATCCCGTGCAACACACGAGTGAAATACTAATTTTAATATCAAATCAATTGAAAATAATTTTAACCAAACATCATAAATTAAAATAGACAATATAATTTGCAAGGGACTACTATTTTTTTAATTGCAGTCATTAAACGTATTTATATCTCAATGATATTTTCAATATTGATCTAATACACAATCTTAAACTTTATATTATCTTCTATATATCGCCCACCGACTAGGGTGAAAGTCCAAGGCTCCAAGTTCTGACCACACCATTTTTTTACCAAACAAATAATAAATAAATGGTGATAAACATCCCATGAAATGGGTCGCGGACCGACCATTTACAAATTAACTAGCAAGTCATTCAAACCTTTGCCACAATAGTTCACAATTACAACCATTGTTTATAGAAGGGATTTTTTCTGTGTAAGTATTTTTCTTTTCAAATTTCTAATGTGGATAGCAAATCAATAAGAATGAACTTCTAGATAAACAATCAAACCACATATGAACTACATAAATCACCATTTTATTATCACGTATATACTCGGTAACTACGTAGGTTACAAAATATGAATAACAAAATTCAACATTTGTATCATCAAACTGAAAGGCTAAGTTAGAACAATGCTAGAGGTACACCTTTGGTGTATCCCGTTTGTCCTCCAACCTCTTTTCCACCACCGTACCCATTTTTATCTATTTTTTAATTATTTAATTTTTTTAAAATTCTTGCTCATTTTTGTACTATTAGAGGGGTGAGGGACAAATGGGGTACACCAAAGTGTACCCCTAGCATTTTTCCTTAAGTTAGAGTCTAGAAAAGAAGTTACAAATACACACTTCCTTTTATTCATACAAAAGAGTGGATAATGAGTTTTAGCTAGACATATAATTAACTTTCATCCTAACCTACATTCAAAAAATTGTTGTTACAAAGAGATACGACTTTAGTAACAAATGCCAATCACGACACTGAAGTAGCTTATAATGTGCATGTTTGAAAATAATGTTAGAGATTAACGCTAGTATTTTGGATAAAAAATTTTACGGTGCATATTTCTTTGAAAACACTAACGCTGCTCGTAAATAACATTTTCGAAACGCTAACGCTAATTCCAAACCGGCGCAATATATACCAGAAAAGAGTTACGTACAAACTATAGAAACAGGGCTTAAGGAAAATTGTTAATGTGAAATACATACTCAGTAGAACAAATTAAAATTAATATGATAGAGACCATAAAAGCATGAGCAATGACAAATAAAAAATGGAATGTCACACGATAACAGGACATATATCAACCAATTAAACAAAGTCCAATCATAGAGTGGCAAATGAAGGGAGTGGTAAGTCATAAAAGGGCAAGTTATTACTTTTTTCATTTTTTATATTTTTGATATATATTAATTAATAAAAATTATTTTTATCATCTCTTTAATCATGCAAATACTTCGTATTTCTACTACCTTCATAGAAAAAGCTTTTTTTATTATATAAAAACAGAAATTGGAACTAAAAAAAATTCATATTGGATAATCAAATTAACAAATTTAAAAATCATAATATAAATTAAACAAAATAAATCAGA